TGTGGGAGGAAGAACCCGGAGAGAACCCACGCTGCATGGGGAGAACATGCAAGCTCCACGCAGAAAAGATCCCAGGTGTCCTTGCAGCCCCAAAAACTTATCTCAAACATCTATACGCTCAATCTGTTGTCTAATGTATGCTCCGTTCTCTCCCCTGGAATAAACCCCGTCAACTTTGGGCCGTCCAACTTTGTTCGCCTCATTTTATTTCCACTTGTAGCGCCCCACGCAGGCACATTACCTAAATGAGGTGCAATTACTCCGGCAATCAGACTCGGTTTTTATTTTTATTGGGGTGGCGCTGAGGCACAGAGGCACGCAGCGTGACGGCACGCCGGATTCCCAAACAGCGGCTTTCAGTCAACATGTAATTAGAATTAATGCCGCCGATTGCTGGGCCTCCATCTGGCTTCTGACCGGCCGCCGCGACCCCGCCGCCGTGATGTCACTCGTCGCTTTAGTGCTTGCGGTGAGAAGAAAAGGTAAGGCAGGTTTGAAAGCTCCCTTTACTTTCAGGGCTCAAAACTTTTGCTTGGACTGAAAACCGGAGAGCCACTCGAATAAATCAGGAGAGCATTTCTGCTGCTTGTTAAGTTAAAGGGAATCCCTTTGACCAGTTATAACATTATTGTCCAGACAGATTTAAACAGCACGTAACACTTATTTCGCTCCTCCAGAGGGGGGGGAAAGAAAGAGTAAATTGGCATCGTTATGAGGCTGGATGGCTGCAGGGCTTTCATGGTTTGCTTCTGTGCTGTCAAAAGCCATTGGCAACTATTAGATATTATGACATTTGAGTTGGATTAACACTTTCGTCATGGGAATATGTTTTGATATCGAGCTCTAAGCTGGATCACATTATTCTCTTTCAACACATTTGGCATTTTAAGCTAACCGCAGGGTGAATCACAATGAGCGGGAATAAGTTTAAATTCACTGGCAGCCAGGAGTGAGAAGAAGCGTATTCATAATGCAGATGCAATATTTGTGAGAACTACAATGGGAAAGTGAGGAAGTCAGCGGGGAGAAAGCGGCCGTGAGGTCGTTTTTTTTTTAATTTTACGGGACTTTTCGCCAACAGAAGACAGAGTGAGTGACAGAACAGTGACTCCGCCACAGTTCAGACGGGGTGGAGTGATGACCAGCCTGGTGCGAGGAAAGAGAGCCAAGCAGCCAATAGCTGGCAGGGCTCAAAGCATGGGTTGGCATAAACGTCTGGACGGCTTCCTGGAAATATGGGAGGGTGGATCCCTCCGTAGCCCGGTCCACCGGCACCAGGAGTCTGCCTTCAGCCAGGGGGGAAGGAGCGCAAGATGGGACAGACATGGGAGACTTTGGGGAGGATGAAGAGAAGGCGGCTTTTTTTTTTTGGACGAGTTGGAGTCGGGGAGTGAGTTCGGCCTCCGGGAACGAGGTGTCCAGATGGAAGGCGACACCGGCGAGGGATGCGGGCAGAGTCCCCTCGGTGAGGCCCGGGCTGCATGTTGCAGAACCATCACAGTTTTCTCTTTTATATAACGGCTCGTCTTCCGGCCTTGAAGCGGAGCCCCACAGCTCAAATAACTTCTCACCAGTTGAATATTAAAAGTACGAAGCCCTTTTTATTAAACTACAACTCATCTGTGACACCTCGAGCGGAGTTGCAGCCGTGTATAAACATGATTTAAAAATAAAGAACAAGATTACGTCTCGGTGTTTCGGACTGCTGCTCCGTAACACTCTGCTTAATGTCGCTGCCTGTGACAACAAAGCTCGGGGAGATGTGATACGTAGCATTTGAATTTCTAGTTTTATCTTATAGTGAATTGCACGGAGGCACAGTTTGGCGACACATACGAGGAGAAGATCAGAGAATTTAAACCTCTGGAATCATGAGGCCATTGCACAACTATTAATACTGTTGACATGCATGATTTTTATAATCATTTCATGGCTGTATTTCAACTTTTTTAGGTATCCATTGACAGAATTAACCAAAAGTGAACCCAGGTTGACACATTTTGGCGTTTTCCAACCCATGCTGGGTTTAGTTTTGATATTGCGATTGATACCAGTCTCAGTTAGCTTAGCATAAACGCCCAACAGCCTCTATTATGGTCAGAATTTGACATATTTGAGATATTATTTGAGAAATAATGCACTAACCCTCCAAAACATAGTCGGTTTTGAAAAGCATGAGACGGAGTTCAATTTTCTGAATGTCTGTGAACTGTTCCATCAGATAGAGGAACCAAATCTGAGCTTAACATGATCGTAATAATTCAAAAACACTTTATTCTACCATTTGTATTACAAAAACATAAACTTCTGCACCATCAGTGACCCAGTTTCTCATTTGTACTCATGTTTCACTGCGACACAAATCCTGCACCTGTATGGAAACAGCCCAACCGGAGCTAAAAGTAGAAAGAACTCACAGATGTGCAGTTTGATATAATGACGCCATAAATCGTAAAAAAAACAAACCAAAAAAATACTACGGTTTAATTTTTTGGATTATTTCTATAGCAAGCACAGATAACAGCTAGAATCAACAACCCAACACTCTTCAAAGTGCTCACAGAGATTAGCAATTTACCAAAAACCATATAATATAGATATATTTACTATTTGTTATCTGCTCTGTCGATACACATCCTTCAAATTTTTGCAACTTTTGCAAAGTTCACATGATTTTCTATTTATTTTTTATTTTTTAACTGAATCTGCTGAGTGGAAGTTGCTTATTTTGGGCAAATTTTCAAATCTAGACATGTTGAAAACATTCTGATTTTAAAAGTTTTGAAAACAGCACGTTACAGATCAGTAGAGACAACCTGGCCGACGAAATCAGGTCGGCTAATTCTGTGCTCTCTTTTTAAGTCACTTCTTATTAAAACACATTTTTATCGGAGCGCTTTTCCTGATTTGATCCAAGTTTTATCGCTTCTTGCTCTATTTGTGTGCTTTCTACTTTTATCCATTATTCTGTGTGCTTATTGTATTTTAATTTAATTGGAAAACACTTTGTTTCTACCTCTTATAACCCATATATTGCACATGTACATGCACCTACTCACATTTGACCATGACCATGTAGACGTCGATGGTGCAGATGGGCGGCTGGGGCAGGCGCTCCCCTTTCTCCAGGATGTCTGGGATCTCCCTCGTGGGGATGCCGTCGTAGGGTTTGCCTCCGAATGTCATCAGCTCCCAGATGGTCACTCCTGGAGTCGGGGGGGCAAAGACGAGACAGAGAACAAAAGGTAAGCGCCCAGATAAAGCGTGACGTAAATGCAAATGAGGAGAAACAGGCTTTCAGGTCGTTGACTTCCTTCCTCCCACACGAATCAACCCACCGTAGCTCCACACGTCACTCTGGTGGGTGAACTTCCTGTAGTGGATGCACTCCAGAGCCATCCATTTAATGGGCATCTGAGGGGAGAGGGGGGAGACAGAGAGGTACATGAAGACCAAAAAAAAAAATCCTCATTCATCTCATTCATTTACACCCGAATTCCAATTTTCCATTTTGCTGTTTTGCTCAACAGCAGCCCCGTCTCTCTCTTCTTCTTTTTTTTTTTTACTCCGGCGAGATATCGGGAAATCGACAAAGCTTTCAACCGTGGTTTTGCTTTGGTCAATATTACTCAAGTATTGTGATTGATTAGATTCTCCCCAACCCGGGGATCATCAATAGCAAGTGAGCGAAGATACTAAATGAGATCGTATCGGCCATTTGTCTCGCATTATCTCAATAGCCCTTTAGCTTCGGAGCAGTGAGGAGGTGATAACAACAGGTCTCTCCTGACGAGGACAGCGGCACATGTTGTCGTATCCTAACTATGATTTCCAGATTGGCTGTACAGAGGGAGGGGGAATCTTAGCTATCCACCGAACGAGGCAATTATCTTCTTTTGCTTGCGACGCGGTCATTCTAACAAAGCGACCCCACCCTTCACGTGCGAGGCTGACGCTCGCTTTTCGGGGAAATGAAGCGAGGAAATGAAATGCTTCAGGTTGCGGTCGCGGCACCTGCACTTTCATCTCCGCTGATTTATCTCCCGCAGCATGTGTATTTTTACGCGTGTAGATGCGCTGACAGCGGCTCTCATTTATCAAGGCATCAGTGAACATGGAGTCAATCACTCAGATGGCTGCGTCAAACTTTTTTTTTCCTTTTTTGTTTCCGCCGAGCTCGAGACGCAGCGGCTACACCTTGAGGCCTCCAGCCGAACAGACGCGGCAACGAACAGTTTAATAAAGGGAGTTGATCAGGATGATTTGCATAGGAAGTCTCGAGCGAGGGGAAGAGAAGGGGCTTCTGATTAATGTAGTCTGGGTCCCCAAACAAAACAAACTGATTGGAAGCGTGGCGGCGTTATTTGTTGAGATGAAGTGCCTCTAAATTGTATTGTACTAAGACAAAAGTTCACCAGAGCTTGTCTGACCAAAATTGTTGCTCAAAATACAGTTCTTTGTGTTTTGTTTTTTTTTATCACTGTCGGAGTTTCGTGTGTATCGAATGAGTTATTCAAATAGGCGAAGGCGAGATCACCACACTAAGCTGGGTAAATTTGTGTTCATGCTGTTGTTTTTTTTAAAAAGATCTCCATCCGACATCCTCTCATGAATACTGACGCGCTTCAGTGTTTTTGGTCGAGGAACCTTTTTCATCAAGTGTCTGCCAGGAGAAGCAGCTGCACCCAAACCAGGCTGGATGAGAACAATGATCTGACAGTGGGAACAGTTGAATTAGGAGGTTCATCAGCACTAAATGAATATTTTTTTTTTGTAATCGTCACAAAAATGACACAATTCCAGCCAGAAACTACAACGACAGACAATGTTTAGTTTCCCGATGGTCCTTGAACTCATCATGCGTGACCAAATCTAATGTATTCGTCCCCTTTTCATTAAAGAAAAGGCAAAATTCACAATAGTCGCTGAAATAACTAGAAACTGCAAAAAGTAATAAGAAATAAAAATTTGCAAAATTATAGTTTAGTGAAATAAGACGTTGCTTTTGAGTTGTGGTTGAAAATAATAATTAGAGAAAAAAAAAACTTGTTCATTCTGAGAGTTACAGAAAACACCTGATGGCAGTGATTGGCTCAAAGGGTTGTTCAATTAAATATTAGTTTACATGCTAATGATTTATTTATTTATTATTATTTTTGTTTTTATATTTCTGTTAAACCACAATTCAAAAGCAATGTCATGATTTTCATTAAGTTTTTTTAAATTCATTATTGCTTTCGTCTGTTTTTTTTTTGTTTTTTTGCTTCTTTAATGGGGGGTATGAATACATTTGAGGACAACTGTGGCTTTAATTAATTGGTAACACCTGTGGGAACGTGGAAAAATGCTGCACCTGTTGATTGCAGTTGTTTT